AGCCACAAGGATCTACACTCTAGCTCGCTCAATAATACTCACAGAGACATACTGACTTGATCATTATGTTTGAATGGGTAAGTAGATTCGAATGGTACCATCTAATCTGCTCTCATTTCGCCCCTCAAACTTTTGGCACCTACACCCCAACTTCAACTTGAAGAATCAAGTTCTTTAGCTAACGAATAAAAACTCTCTTCAATAAGCAGACTCAACAAGCCTGTTATCCAACACGGGGTGATTCATTTGATCCCCCATTTTCCCTGCTATATGTTTATCTTCTGTAAAACCCAAAACGCTTGTGTGTCTTTCCACAGATGTTTGCCCAAGTTCACCAAAAATACCTGAATACATACAGGGACTTGACAGGAGTATTCGCTAGAGCTATGTGATGAGATCGATACCATACATGCCTACTACTTATGCCCCCACCCACATTTAACACTTCATACCCCAATTCTGAATAAACACTTAACTGGCCTCAACTTACTCAGAAATACTCGAATAACCAAGGCAGCGTAACCACCGGGTTATAGCGATCTATCAGAGTGCAATGGTACCAATGACATAATTAGTTTACTGCGAGATGCAACTGTTAAATCGGAGCACCGATTTCCTACTTCTCACAGAACTGCACACAACTCCTGTAGAAGAGATGACATAGTAAAGACGATCTGATCTGGGTATATAAAGACGTCTAATGATTCAAACGATACCATGAATGCCTTGGTTTATACATCAAATGTACTTTTGACACCAACGAACATAATTTTACTTGTTCTCTGATCCGCAGTAATTTCTTCGAAAATACAGTCATCGACGCGGGGACTTGATTAACGTGTTCACTGGAGCTCATATAGTACGTCAGTACCGTTTATATATCTAGTGAGGGCATTATAGTTGGTTTACTCTCAACTTCCTTTGTATTCTCTTTTTCGAAACTTCCTCTAAAACTCTCAGTTATGTGGTGTATTGTTATCGGAAGGCAACCTAGAGTACTCCTCCAGAGCCTCTCCAACCACATTAGCCGTTATTTATCTCCGACTAGCTCTGGCTTCTTATTACAACCAAAACCCTCATTTCTTATTTTTCGCAGAACTGGTAAAGAGGGTCAAAAATAGCCAATATCTTCCAATCTGGAAAAAAATCAGGGTAACCAACAATGTCTTCGTTCCTGTAACGTCCTCTTATCATCAACTCACACAAACAACTAATTACCTACTACTTGTTCATCGACCAAGTGAGTGCTGCGTCTCACTTTAACTCGAACCAAGGTACAGAATTCCCACAGACTTCAGATATAGATCGCTCATCTTCTTGAAAACAATTCTATTAGGTTGTTTATTATGTCATGATATTTTACTGCCGAGATGAACATTTTTTTTCTGCCCTTCACTTTATCCATGAAGAAAAAATTCCGTTCAGAACCGTCCAGAAATACATTCCGAGACTCGTTGACACTCATATCTGAATGAATGACATAGCCCAAAGCAATATCAACCTTTTATGTTGATTTAAAAGCTCAAGACATCACTATTATATTGATTAAAGCTGAATTTTGTGAAGTTTTTTGTGAAGCGGGTTTTTTTTTTTATTCTGAAGATACATTACAACTATATACCTGGCAGGGATTACGTAATCCAAGTTTTGATAGTAATGGCCACGTTTTCAGTTTTTTAAAAAACCCGCGGATTTAGCTCAGTTGGGAGAGCGCCAGACTGAAGTCATTCTTTAGTCAGAGTAATCTGGAGGTCCTGTGTTCGATCCACAGAATTCGCAATCATAACCATCTCGCAAGAGTTGGCATTCTTTTTTCCACCGCCAGAACAACTCATTGTATAACCAGCGGTCATGAGTTCCCTTCGACCACGTATGTTCACAGAATATGAACTTGTTTATGGTCTATTTTTTACCTGGTAGTAAAAGTATATGGTGAATGACAGCCTCAAGGCATGTTGGAATGTTTACATAAGCAGATCAAAATACAGTGCAAAAAGGAATACCACTGAGTGGTAGATAGCCCGACGTGGGGCTTGAACCCACAGCCTTGAGATTTCTAGAATAAGAGTCTCACGCTCTACCGATTGAGCTAGCCAGGCTTGATTGTTTCTGTCACGGTTCAGACGCTAGTCATAAGGTGTTCTGATTAGTCATACAGTGATGTCACTGGCTAGATCAGTATGACGTCCGTAGGACGTCATGTGTGTGTCAAGATGGAGGTATACTGAGGTATCACGTGAATGTGACGTGGATATGGCATGCGATAGATGATGTTAAGGTTGAGATGCATAGCATCTCTACCTGTATAAATAGCCTCCACATAGACATATGTAGTTAAGTTATTTTCATACAACTTCCGGAGTACGTACTTTTGGTGTAATACTCTGTAGGGTCAGACGAGCGGAGTCCCGCTCGTCATGAAGGAAAAGGACATACCCTTCCGCACTTTAAACCGTTACACGTGGTAGCGGCACTTTTAACAACCAGGCAAACGAACTTTAGCAACTTTGCAACGAGGGGCCCAACTGTGGCCTAGCATCCTCGAGTCCTTACAACATTTGGTAGCGACACTTTTAACAACCAGGCAAACGAACTTTAGCAACTTTGCAACGAGGGGTTACACGTGGTAGCGATGCTTTGGTTCTGATTCCCGGATGGCTGCTTGTGAAAATTTTTCATGCGGAAAATTTTGCAGTGGGGGTGAGGAGATATTAACGGTTTTGAAACGAAAACGCATTCGCGTTGGATACACAGGATGGGTACACGTGTTAACCGATGGAAGAACCCTGATGGTAACAGCGAGACGTTACGTCTTGATGACTAGTCTCGTCTGTGATGCTTGATTGAACCGACTTGATGGCACATGAGTAAACATGAGACGCAAATCCGTGCAGCAGGCACGTTAAACAAGCCGACATTTATGAGCCCTGTCGCCGTTTGGAGATATTTATGAGCCCTGTTGTTGTCGTAGGTATTGTCCTATCGACTTGCCGAATTTTTTTTTCTCCTTCCTTCCGAGTCCTGTTTTGTTGCGGACATCTCATGGTCAGAGAATTGTTCCGGATGAGACACGCGAGGGCGCTGGTGTCTTAAGGAGGGGAGAGGGGAAGGGAGTGGTTGAGGTACGGAGAGTGAGCGGTGCGAGCTCTCTGGAAGATGCTGATGACGCCTATTGGTTAAGAGGTGTCGTACTCGACTATTAGGAAGGACACGTATGTGGCCGACCGAGACGACCGACGATGTGAACGATGAGTTACGAGGTAACAAGTGACGAAGAGTGAAGCATCATGATGATGATCGAAGAGTCTACGAAGATATGAGTGGCTTGGAGTGAAGCATCTGCGAGCTACATGAGAGATCGAATTACCATGAAGAGTATCGATTGTGGTGAGCTTAGCGAAGTGAAATTGGACTGACGCAAGGAAGCAACGATTGAGTAATTGTCCGAGAGGATTTGATACAGAGCACCTGGTCGAGGACGCACTCCCTGGTTGGTATCTTATCGAGAGTGATGACAAAGAGACGTGCGACTGATGGATGTTCATGGGAACGACGTTATGGACTTGCGAGAGAAGGAGCATGTCTGCTGGCTATTCGTTGGAACGTCAATGAAGACGATGGCCTTGGAGGAGATGGTATTCTAGCTGGAGTGTTAACGAGAGCTTTGCCAGTACAGAAATGTGGATCAACTGGAACGTAAGTGACGAGTTGTGAGAATTGGAGATCAGTAAGTTACGCTGTGATTCGAAGAGCTGTTGAGATCGACCAAAATGATTCTGGAGGAATCGCCAGAGGCAGGTTGATGAAATCCCTGCGGCGAGTCAAGAGACTGAGTGAGGTTGTGATTGACGAGGTTGAGTGCCTTGATTTTGAGGTATTTCGTTCGGAAATTTTTGAGATTTTTTGGAGTTTCTACTCTTGAGAGATTTTGGACTAGAGATGATGTTTGGATCGCACTCCCGCGAGATGAGATGAGCGACACTGAAAGATGTGATTACGTTTGCGGTTTTTTGATTGAGATTTTGGAAAGATGAGATGCTGGCTGAGTGATTATGCGCTAGGGGTCGGCTAAGGGTGCCGCCCAAGAGCTAGCTGCGTCCCATGAGGTGGACACACCAGTTTGAGGCTATGGATTTGCATTCAGAGTGTTTGAGATATTTCTGTGAACCGTGTTGAGCTGAAAGACGTGGACGTCTCTTAAGGAGGGGAGAGTGTCACGGTTCAGACGCTAGTCATAAGGTGTTCTGATTAGTCATACAGTGATGTCACTGGCTAGATCAGTATGACGTCCGTAGGACGTCATGTGTGTGTCAAGATGGAGGTATACTGAGGTATCACGTGAATGTGACGTGGATATGGCATGCGATAGATGATGTTAAGGTTGAGATGCATAGCATCTCTACCTGTATAAATAGCCTCCACATAGACATATGTAGTTAAGTTATTTTCATACAACTTCCGGAGTACGTACTTTTGGTGTAATACTCTGTAGAGTCAGACGAGCGGAGTCCCGCTCGTCATGAAGGAAAAGGACATACCCTTCCGCACTTTAAACCGTTACAGTTTCGTGGTATGCAATATGTGTATAAGAGGGGGAAATAGTGCCTCCTTAGCGCGCGAAATATATAGATTTTCATAACCGGTATAGGTCCAATAGAAACTATGCGACCATAAGACCTTGTAATAGAAAAATGATAACTATGACGTACATATTGGGCGAGTTACAATGCTTTACATTTCAGTATTTCTTTTCATTTAAGCATAATTTAACCTTTTCTTAGTTAGAAAAATACGAAGTGCGTTAAAAATATCGAGTGAAAAAAAGGGTGAAAAATGTGCATATTTGAGGCACATATGAAGAGATTTTTATGTAAACAGCTTCAGGCAAGCCCCAAATATACCCCTGAGGTCTCAAGCTCTCAAAAAACGCCCCGGCTCGGAAAAAAATTTCGACATTTTTCAGATATACATGGTAACCGTCAAAAGTTTGAAAAAAACTCGCCGTCATAGTATAGTGGTTAGTACATCACGTTGTGGTCCTTTCAATAGTGTCCCGTGAAAACCTCAGTTCGATTCTGGGTGACGGCAAGGAGCTCCTAGCGAGTATTCTTTTGTTTTCCATATTTATGCCATTCACCCTGTGATGTTAAAACTTTCATTTTCCATTAGACTACTGATCTTTGTGATGAGAAAACTTCTACTGAGGGCATGTGATTTTTTTTGGTCGTAGAAGGGCAACTATGACGGCCTTGGTGTTAAGAATCATTAAATATCTGTTTCATTTGAAGTTTTTCTTTTCTCTATTCTAAGTAAAACAGGTTTATATGCCCTCTGCACACTTGTATCGAATCAATCCAAGGAGGAATACTATGCCTACAATGACATAAAAGATACGAGCACTTCCAAATGTTCACAAGAAATGCTTTACAAATCAGTCTTCACTATTTTACTGTTTTATATGGAGTTGTGTCTAACAACACCTCTTTCTGCCTAGTTCCTTGGTGTCACGAAACCAAGCCAAATAGTCACACAAATAACCGATTGAGGAACGAAGATGTCGAGAATGTTATCCAGTCGATTTTATGGTCACTTGGGTTTCCAACTACCCCAACTCAACTTTTTATTGAGCATTACTAGAGCGTGTGAAAGAAAATCGTGATTAGAGGTAGAGTTGGGGAAAATGATTTACGCCTGGAGGTCTCAATAATAACGAGAGAACGACAAATGGAAAACAGAGATATATAGGATATCAAGGAAGGCACTTATACACTAAATTTTCTCCGGTTAATATCATATTCCTTATCAAAATTGGGAAATACATCACTTTTTTGGGGAAGTCTCCTAAATCTGATCTCTCTGCTTCTTGGATATGGTTACTAACATAAACCGAGTTTTCCATGATTGACCAGTTGATGGAGTCTCTTTTGGATATGCATGGACCAGTTTGTTACTACTATGAGCTTCTCATTATCCAGCTTGAAAATTATGGAATTTTCGATCACGGATGTTACGATCAACCGATGGAAAAAGCTATAATACTACATTTGACTTTATGATCCCCTCCATCAGGTGAAGATTAAAGGCTGGCCATCGTTATGTAGTGTTTGTAATATATCTAGTTGAGTTAGGCCCCATCCAATATTTTCTCACTTTTCAGCTCGAAATGTGGCTCAGAAAAAAAAAACCCCCCTTCAGTTTTGATGATAGCAAAGCGACAGAAGCTTCAGTGTATTAATTTGAGGGCCCTCCACATATTGGAAAAACATCTTAGCTATAACTTGTCTCTTATATCTTCATTTCCGTCATTAACCTGTTTTTAAGAGCTATTTTCCACTTGGCAAAGAACGCTCACCAAAGCGTCTAATTTAATGTAGTATCAAAACTAATTGGTTCATGGGTATCCTGATACTAACGGTAAATCTGTTTATACGACTGTTACAGCTTTTTCGGCGAGATTTTAGTCAGCAGAAGGCAGAATTATATGTTCCAAACAAACTGGGATTTAACGATCCGCAATAGTTTAGTGGCTAGAATTTCCGCCTGTCAGGACATCTGTTCAGCACGCGGGGGACCGGAGTTCAATTCTCCGTTGCGGAGTCTCTTCTTTTTGCTTCTTTTTGCTTCTTTTTGGCTGGTATTCTGGCCAGTTTGTCAGCTTGCTTTTTGATCTGAGACACAATTTTTTTTCTTGGTTGGAAACAATGCAGCAAAAGTAACAGGGGGGGGGGTTAGGCAGTTGATTTAGGCCGTCTTGAGTATTGGAAGAGGAGAATGAGCTTCAGCTAATGGCTATTATCTTAGAGGTGGCAGCAGTATTTGTTTTCTCCTTTCCAGATTATTATTTCCCTTTTATCATATTAAGTTCCGATAATGCACCTCTGAGAACTTTATCAGTAAGAAGAGGGAAAATGAATATACGATCCAATATGTAGAGTTATCCCTAATGAAGTTAGCCATGTATCAGTAGAACTGATTATGCGACAGAAAACCAGCTCTTCGGCTTTTATTAGGTTTTATTTCCACCTTTTTAATCTGATCAAGTGAATCCTCTGGACGAAAGGAGCGCGGTGAGACGTAGATAGTGGCTAAAGTAGACGTCAAAAAGTAGATAATTGGCAGTGACTTTACACAGAGATAGCTATACGGGTTAAATATATACCCACTTACTATCTTTGGGTGCAGCGTAGTACTTCTAGAGTCATACAAAGAAGTGAATACTTGAGGCAAGGAGCTGCTAGGAGATACTAGTGAATCAGAAGTGACCGGGTCTACTCATCTAACTCCTAAAACCTAAGTTTTATCGCAATGGCCCCTCTATGTTAACTCTTGAAGGGTAGCTATCACTCTCGGAGGAGCTGACTCTGTGTGAAATGAGTATTCGGTTTAGAACAGTAGAAGAAATAGGAGGAGGGAGTTAGACGGCGCTAAATGAAATAGGAGGAGGGAGTTAGACGGCACTAAATGAAAGTTTAGCGTCTGACATATGCAATGGAATTAAACGCTTGTCTATGTGGGTATTTTTGAAAAAGTTGAACGCCGTTCTATTTTGAAGAAGACTTGGGATGACTGGCGTGAAAGTCGGTAAAATACAGTAGATAAGGAATGAATGGTATTAACATAATATTTATACACGGGGGAACATAATGGTCAACTCGCTATTGCAGTACAGCTATTTTTCAAGGTCTAAGACTCGTTTATGTGTAGGAGAATATTTGGAGGAGTTGTTGATAAAAGTAGCTACCATGTGTTATTAGTAACTTCAAGGACAGATTCTGAATCCTCAGATGATGGGGGACAATCTGACCAACACTCAAATCTTCACTGGGTATTTCTGGTCAACATATAGACAGTTGTGTTCAAGCGTCATTGGGGATGGAGGTAATTAAAGTGGATAAAGGGCTGTAGAAGAGACTTTAGTGATATCGAAGAAATCGTAGGCTTCAAGGATTACCCTGGTTACACGCTATTCAGGATGTGGGTAATCTTGAGAGAAATTGACCCAGTTCTGTGAAGAGTGTTAAATTAGTTATCGAGGTTTAAGAGATATACAAAGTCAGGGGGAAGGAATAAAGAGAATCAAAGGAATTGATGGAAACAGCAAGAATCTGGTATCACGATGGTCAAGTCTTCCTCAAGATGTGTTAACTTCTGAGTAGTTTGGCGACAATTCTTTGTTGAGGCCTAGTGGGAGGGTCGTTGTTAAACTTGATAAATAGATGGCAACCCAGATTCAAAGGCACTTAAATAATGGCATTATACGAGACACAGGACGGTAAACTGTCCATTGGAATTGGTGCAAATCTGGGCGAGATATGCTCAGTTGTGTTATTCGCTGTAAATTGGATGTCGTTGTAAAAATCTGCAGAAAGGGTGTAGGTATGACGTAAAAAATAACAAGCGAAGTAACTAACTCAGGAATATAACATAGTGAAGTCACTCATAGGTGAAGGTATTTCTGATCAAGTTAAGGGAAGTTCTGTGAATGGTAGAATTGGGAGGGTGGGTGAGAAAAGTGGACAAGGGATAGGAGGGAAAAGATGTGACATATTAAAAGAATCCTAGGAGCCTAAGGAACATATTGGTCAAGTAGCTGTGGCTCTATGAGTATTTTTGGGAGAGCTAGGTAAAATTTTGTAGGGAGTGGAAAATCGAGTTTCGGGTGTAGAGTGACAAATGAGATTGTAAGGAATACATAAGGGGTATAATTTAAATCTCCCGAATCTGAGTATCATCATGGTTAAGTCACTGACGCAATGTAGGTAATATTGGTCGAGTTGACCTCAAGTTTTATGCGTATGTAGAAGTTGAGTGTCGGTGATATGAGAGGAAAAGGGATAATAATGAGGGACTTCTGGGTATCAGACAGTCTAATTACTTGAGATGAATACATTAGACGAGTCGCCATAGTCCTAGAAGTTTTTTCTTCAAAATTGGAGAACTTCAATATGAAGATACTGTTAGGACGCCTTGGTCAACCGAGAGGGAGAGGAAGTAAGGAGGGCTTATATGATACCAATATTATTTCCGTAGAAGGAGAGAAACACTGGTAAACTCACTGTAGCGGTCTGGGTATTTCTGAGGTCGGTGAAGATGCGAAAAACGGTATAAAAAGTGTTGTTAACGTTAGAGGCGTTCTGGCAGGGAGTGGAGTAAGGGGAAGTTAACCAACAATTCAATTGCTCCTTCAAATAAACTGGGTCCACTCGCTGTAGATGTACGGGTATTCCTGAGACAGATGGGGCTGTTCTGTGGGGGAGCCTTCTTACGAGTGTCGCTATTAGAAGGGGTGAGATGTAATGGGAGGGACATAAGGGGTACTAAACGAATCCTCTGCATCGTGGGAATAAGCTGGTTAACAGAACATGTTCTCAGCAACATTACTTGAGGAGTTGGACATCGTTGTATGATATGGTAAAATTCGAAACGCAGTTGTTAAATAAAATTGGATCCGGTATGGAAGTAAGAGAATAAGGGGTACAGCTGTATATAACCAGGTGCAAAGAGTGTCTTGGTCATGTCGCTATATGGACACAGGTATTCTTGGTACTATTAAGTCCAGTTATGGAAATAGTGGAAAATCAGTATATCGGCTTTTGAGGTGGTAGAGAAATAGTAGTAGAGATACAATGGACATAACCTGGCAGGATAGAGCGAGAGAAGCACGTGGGTTGAGTCCGCTTGAACATACCTCTCTTCTGATCAAGTTGGAGCCACTTCTATGGCCAAGCAAGGGTGTGAGGGTAGGTGTTAAAAGGGGATAAGAAGTAGTAGGGGAAGAGTAACGGTACATTGAGAACAACCGAGCCGGTGAGATTACACTAGTCAAACCCCCATGACAATGCGGGAATTTTTGGTAGAGTTGAGCGCAGATATATGAACGGGTATAGAGGGGGGAGTTGGTTATAAAACTGAGCAGGAAGTGTTAGAAGAGATGTGGATGGTATCATTGGAATGCCATGAGTCTGAAAAACATAATTATCAAGTCCCCATGATGATGGGAGTATTTCCCGTTAAGCTGGGTCAGTTCTATGCTGTGTAGGAATTCAGAGTGTTGGCGTTGAAACCCGTGAAGAAGATATAATAGGAGT